TTAAGGGTTAAACACCCATGCATTTAAGTGTTACACAGCTATGCACGTAAAAGGTGAACACCCACAAATTTAAGAGTCAACACATGCATTTAAACACTCTTACATTTAACAGTTCAACATCAAGACCTTTAAGTGGTAAACAAGCATTGGACAGTTAAACATCTATGCATTTTGTGTTAAAGGTCTTTTTTTTTGCTGTTTCTGTCATTTTTTGACATTGAAACAGTCAGAAGTGCAGATTGGAACGCGTCCATTCAGAATGTAAAGGTGAATGTAATTCATTACACAACTCACTAATAATAAGGTTGCATAACTAAATTTGAACAGTACTGCAGTAACTGTAAACATGTCGTCGTTAATTTGCTGAATGAACACTCGCGCTCGTAGGTATTTTTGGAAGCTGCTGTTAAAGCTTTAGATACAACACTACATTACAGCCCGGCGTGGTTTTGTGTGTGTGGAGGGTTGGAGGCGAGCTTGGCTGGAAACCAGACACTCAGACGTACCCATTCTTTCCACCACGCTAAAGAGTGCTAAACCTGTTATCTTACATCTGTTACTCCTCTCTGCATCCGCACACGTCAGCGCTGTCTCCTCAGTGATGTTCTACAAGCATTTAACTCCAGTAGAGCAGCTGGTGCTCCGGTCTTCCTGTGTTCTGCTGTTATTTGCTGTGTCATGCCACACTGCCATCACAGTGCCATAAAGTGGAGGTCTAAGGTCAGCAGGTCAGCAGCTTTGCACAGAAGCCCATTTCTGCCCCTTTAAATAAAAAAAACAAACTAGCACATAATTATCATGTTTTCATCATTAAGGGAATTGCTAAGTCATTATTTTGCGAGTGCAGACCACGCCTTGAGTGGAGGGGGATAATGAGAGGAGGGGAGCAGGTTGCTAGAAGGCTGCCCCCCCAGTACACTGGAGATCGTGTGCAGGCGTGGATAAAGAGGAGAAGAAGGAGAGGTGGGGTCCGAAATTACGCCACGAGGATGAGGAGTGAAGGATGTGTATTTTATAGGAAGAAGGAAGTGAGAAGGAGAAGTTTCAGGCATGGTCTTTCCTCAAACCAGTTATACCATAACTCCATATTGTGCAATTAAATCATTATTTTGCAATACTATGTCATAATTTTAGATGCCATCTCATTATTCTGAAATACTAAGTCATCATTTTGAGATACTATCTCATTGTTTTGGACAATTAAGTCATTATTTTGAGATACTATTACATTATTTTGAGATACTAAGTCATCATTTTGAGATACTAAGTCATTGTTGAGATACTATTACATTATTTTGAGATACTAAGTCATCATTTTGAGATACTATCTCATTATTTTGGACAACTTAGTCATTATTTTGAGATACTATCTCATTATTTTGGACAATTAAGTCATCATTTTGAGATACTATCTTATTATTTTGGGATAATAAGTCATCATTTTGAGATACTAAGTCATTGTTGAGATACTATTATATTATTTTGAGATACTAAGTCATCATTTTGAGATACTATCTCATTATTTTGCACAACTAAGTCATTATTTAGTTCAACTAAGTCATTATTTTGTGAAAGTAAAGTTGTGAATCTTGTAAAATGTATTCTGTGTTTTATCTGAATCTTGTATCAGTCATTATCAGATATCTGATCTTGTGTGTAGTTTTACAGAGACTTCTTCAGTAAAGAGTTCTGACACAGAGCTGCTGCCGCCGTTAAACATTCCTAACAACTAACTGGAACAATGCTTAGACTACAGCTGACTTCACGGTCTGTGACGTATCTAGAACTTCCAGAAGGACTAGAGTGACGCATTTTCTCACCTCTCATTTTAAATCAAAGCATGAGTGGTTGATTCCTCTGACTTCCTAATGATGTTGGTAGTTAACCTCAGATTTATTACACTTAACCACTTAGCAACACAATGGCAACCACTCGTAACCCCTTAGCAACCACCTGGAACACCACAGCAGCTGCCTAGCAACCGCCATGCAAGTGTACTTCCTAGAATCTACATGATGTGCAGGTTCTTTTAGCTTTAAAGGGGTTTTTCACATCTCTCCTTTACAAAAACAGTCCTCTAAACAACAAACCATGGAAACATCTCCAAAGAACCCTCTCTGGCACATTTCCAGGGGCAGCTGTCAATCAAATCAGCTCTCTTTTCTTCTCGTCACAATGGCAAACTGAAGGAGGCTCCTGACAGGCTCTGAGGTTTCAACTCCCTGAAAGCAGCCGCTTCCAAAAACAAGCGCTGATGGCTGTAAAAGACGCCAAAGGAACAAAAGAAAGGAAGCAGAAGCGATTTGGAGCAAAAAGAACAAAATCCTCCAGCATCTCGGTTATTTTTAGACGAGAGAAACAACAGAGGCTTTAAAGTGAGGCATGTTTTTAATGAGCTAAACTCACAGTGTTGTTTAGATCCACTGTAAGTCTTGTAAATTCTATTCATGGTTTTTGTAAATGCTTAAAAAATAGTTCTAAGGTTCTTTAGTAAAGGCAATGATTCTATTTAGATGAGTCCTATATAGAACTGGTCCTATATTGAAATGGTTCTTCAGACTGATGGAGAATGTGTTGTGTATGGTTTTATGTAGCACCAAAAAGGGTTCTTCTACTGTTTTTGTGTCAAGCTACAGTAGTAGAACCCTTTTTGGTGTGATATAGAACCATATACAACACATTCTCCATCAATCTGAACAATCATTTCAGCATGCAGATCCATTTAAGCATGAAATGGCTCTAAATAGATAGAACCACTGCCTTTACTAAAGAACCCCTTATTTTAAGAGTATTCTGTTCTACGTTTTGCTCAGTCCTTTTGTGTTGGAGCTGTAAAAACTGTAAAAATTATTCCTGGGCAAATAAAACCATCTTGCATTTGGTCAATATATCTAATAATTCTCAATATAAGATTGCTGCAAGAGTATTATAACACTGTTAACCTCTTTCGAGACATTTTTACTTGTTTTGAGTTTTTTTTTGCTATTTGTTATTGAAGAATCATCTTATTCCATAAGCAGATCATTTCTTTTCATGTATTGTTTCTTTAGGTAGATGTAATTACTCAAAACAGGTAAAAATATCTAATATTGGGTTCAATAGTATTATAATATTCTTACATTGTGTTACGCTTCATTCAAAAGGCAGTCAAGGCCAAAACACTCCTTAAGGCTTCAAATGGGTGGGGCTAAACTGATGTAGGCTGAATAGGTGGAGATATGTAAATACTCTGGTCATCACAAAAACAATTTATCATAAGTGGCTAGTGTTAGTGCTGCATAGTTTCCATATATGGGCGGAGTGGGGACTGAATAGTATGTTTGGAAAATGTAACTACATTTAAATAAATATAGCTAATAATAATAATAATGTAAAGTTGTATTTAGTGTTAGTAGTTATCCACAAAAACTAATCAACTGCAAGTTACTAATTACTTCTCTCAAACTGTAATGAGATTACTTCTGAAAAAAGTAATCTCTCTACTCTATTTCATTACTTCTGAGTAAAAATGAAGGAAAAATACAGTTTCAGTAATTTATTTAGAAAGAAATAGTAAATCATTTAAAAGGCCTGTTACTGTCCTTCACTTTCAAACACCACAAGGTCAGTTCTACAGATTTGAATCAAGAACTGATGCAGTTTGAGTAGAAATAGTTCAGAAACAGAAGCAGCTGAAATAATCTCTTAGTGAATACAGTGTTAATGTTACAGAGCTGGTTGTGAATATAAATGAGGTCTAGTCTGTTTAGATGAGCTTCTCTTCTTCAGTTCGGAGATCTTTACCCATCACTTTCATATCAGGGTGATTAGACACCTCAGCTGTTCACTGACGCAGACAACACACACACTCGCAAATTACAGACAAGGATAGACACAGATAATCTACATAGAGGAAATGTATGATTTAAATGCATTGCGGATAGTTTACTGTGTTGCCTTACAGACGGTGAGTTACAAAAAGTGAGTTTACATTCAGTTTACCATATATGGGCCCTTTAAGGTTCTGTGTTTAACCTTCTGTAGGGTCTCTGCACACACACACACACACACACACACACACACACACACACACACACACACACACACACACACACACACACACCAGGGACAGCAGTGACGTTTCTGTTCTAAACCCAGCTGTGGCACTCCTGCCATCTGCACCTTACAGCAGAACGCTGACAGATTAACACAGAGCTGATCTGCTGCATCACACGCACACACACACACGCACACACACACACACACACACACACACACACACACACACACACACACACACACGCACACACACACACACACATTAAATTCTCAGGCTGATTTTACTTCTTTAGTTTTTGCACTCCAGCTTCAAAGCTAATGTAGCTAACAAGGGATTAAAGTTTATAGGTGTAACCATGGAAATGGGTTTAGCGCAACAGTAATAAATGGATGCAGCATAACTACAGAAATGATTGTAGCGTAATTATGACAATAGATGTAGTGTAACTATGGCAATGGGGGCAGAGTAACAATTAAAAAATGGGTGTGATGTTACCAGGTAAATTAGTCTAGTGTAACCATAGAAACTGGTATAGCATAACCATGGAAATGTGTGTAGTGTTACCATAGGAATAGGTCTAATGTAACAGTAATAAACAGGTGAAGTGTAACTATCGAAATGGGTATCGCATACTGTAACCACGGAAATATTTGTAGAGTAACCATGGAAATGGGTGTAGTGTAACCATGGAAGTTGGTGTACCAAAACCCTGAAAACAGGTTCAATGTAACCAGGGAAATGGGTGTAGAGTAACTATGGAAGCAGGTGTAACATAATCATGGAATTTGATTGATCCACTTATCAGTAATAAAATCTACTTCAGATGACTTTCAATCATCCAGATTATAACAGCTGGAGTTGACCTACACTACAGATTTCCCTACAGCATCTGGATCACTGTGAATGTGGATTTCAGTCCAAAAGAACAGAAACTACAGTTACATGCAATCGTATTGCTCACCTGTACGAGCTTCCTGCAGTGACCTCCTCCTTAATTTGTCTGTTAAGAGCATCCACGGCCTCCCTTCCCTTTCCCATGCTAACGGGGGCCTCCGCTGACCCCTCCTTCCCTGTGGTGACCTTGTTCTCCTTCTCCACTCTCTTTGCCTGCCTCTTCTTCCTCTCTCCCATCAGCATCTCCTTCTCCTGCACCTTGTCGGCGATCTGGCTCTTCTCCAGGCCGCTCTCCGGTGCCGGTTTGGGTATCCAAGGGTGGTCACCCCTCCTGGGCAGAGGCCAAGGCTTGTAGTCCTGCCGGTATTGGGTCTGGCTGTCGAAGGGCACCTCCGGGTTGTGATATTCGCTCTTCGGCTTGCAGCTCGGCTCCGGCCGGACCTTCCACGGTTTGAAGTCCTGCCGCATGACAGACCCGGTAGCTTCCTCGCGCCCATCCCGGGTCACTTCCTGTCGAGGTCTGTCCCGTTCTTGATCCCGCTCCTGACTTCTCTCCTGCAGCCGGTCTCGGGTTCTGTCTCGGGTTCTCTCTCGATCTTTCTCCCGATCTCTCTCCCGATTTCTTTCCCGATCTCTTTCCCGCTCTCGCTCCCTATCCTTCTGCAGCTGCTGAGTCTCCTCCGACGCCTCCGAGTACTTGACAAAGACCAGCGGCACGGCGATGTCGGCCTTGTCCAGCTGGGTCCAGAATCGGGCCATGCAGCATGCCCTGGCGATGCACGGCCACGCCATGACCCCTACAAACCCTCAAATCCCACTGAAAACCCCACCGTACCTCCCTAACTCCCCCTCCCCTACCTCCCCGTCCCCCTTCTTCGATTCTGTCACCCCCCTCCTCCTCCTGCTCTCCTCGAGCTGCAGCCGTGTCTCGCTCTCTCGCTCGTCCAGCTGATCAGTGAAAGCCTGGAGCTGTTCGTGCTGAATCTCACAGCAGAGTGAATCTGCTCTGAGCGACTGAAATGGCGGAGCTTCTGCTTCGCTTTTGCCTTTTAAACGCCCCCCCACCATCTCCCCGCCCCCCCTTCTCCTGCTCCTGTCCCCTCCCCATCTCCATCTGTCTGCAGTGGGCGGAGATAGACACAAAGAGAGAGAGAGAGAGAGAGAGAGAGAGAGAGAGAGAGCAGGGGAAACCTCAACATCCACATGATCAAAACACATCACAGAGAGCTTGCAGGATCCTTTCTAAAGCACAGGCTTACATTCAGAAAGCATGATGTGCCAATTAAAGCGAACTCTTCTATTCAGTAAGCACAATCATATATTTTAACATACTCAATACACAAATTAAACTCAGTATTTAGCAAATCTTATATTTGTAAAGCACAATCTTTAATTTACAAAGATCTATTTTCTAACATTTTATTGTCATAGAGCTCAGAGTGCAATGATCTAGTATTTAAAGGTCCTTTAAAACTAAAAACTTTAACATTGTAATTAAATACTGTGATTAGCAAAATCAAGAAGTTATATTAAAAACAAAAACAAACAAAAAATATATATATACACTGATCCTTGTTTCTACGCTCATTGTCCATTTTATCAGCTCCACTTACTATATAGGTGCACTTTGTAGTTCTACAGTTACAGACTGTAGTCCATCTGTTTCTCTGATACTTTGTTACCCTGTTCTTCAGTGGTCAGGACCCCCATGGACCCTCACAGAGCAGGTACTATTTGGGTGGTGGATCATATCACTGCAGTAACACTGACGTGGTGGTGGTGTGTTAGTGTGAGTCGTGGATCAGACACAGCAGTGCTGCTGGAGTTTTTAAACTCACTGTCCACTCACTGTCCACTCTATTAGACACTCCTACCTTGTCGGTCCACCTTGTAGATGTAAAGTCAGAGATGATAGCTCATCTGCTGCTGCGCAGTTTGTGTTGGTCATCCTCTATATAGTTCAGCTGTAGCTGCTTTTCTCGCATCTCCAGCAGGAAACCTTTCCTCAAAAGTAGAACAGTTTCTTATAAAATATCTCTTAACGTTCGACTTTTAACGAGGCTGAGGTCGCTTCTCATTCGCCAGCTTCTTGTTCGATTTTTCTCATTACACCTTAAATGGTGCCTGAGATGGTTCTTCAAGGGTTCCTTAATAAAGACAATGATTCTATATAGAACCATGAACGCTTTGCATCTTTGCATGGTGAAATGGTTCTTCAGATTGATGGAGAATGTGTTATATATGGTTCTATAAAGAACCTTTTTAAAAAAGGGTTTTATATAGCACCAAAAAGGGTTCTTCTATTGTCATGATTTCAAGCTTGTAACATTTCACCACGCAAAGAACCATTTAAGCATGCAAATGTTTATAGTTCCATATAGAACCATTGTTTTTACTAAGGAACCCTTGAAGAACCATCTGTTCTAAGAGTGTACATGAAGAATGTAGGAAACAGGCCATGCTGAACCAGATGCAAATACTGACATTTATAAAACACAACCTTACATTAAAAATGCAGTCAGAAAGCAGGAAACCCACACAGAAACCTAATGAAGCTCTAATCTACAGTTCTAAATGCTGCCTCTTTTAGCTTTGAGTGGTCCGTTATTCTGTGTGTAGGAACCAGATGTACTTGTGTTTTCCTTCAGGCTCTTTAGCCACCTGTCCAGGCTCAGTGGAGGTCAGTGCAGAACCGTGACTGTTAGAGTTACACACTTAAAAAAAGATGGTTCTCCAAAGGTTCTTTAGTAAAGGTAATGGTTCTATTTAGAACTGAGTTCTATATAGAGCTATTTCAAGCTTATGTGGCTCTTTGCATGGTGAAATGTGCAACAGTCCATGAGCAATACATGTAAAATACCCTTATAGTGTTCATTCAAACATTCATTCATTCATTCATTCCCACATTTATTCATTCTTTCTTTCTTTCTTTCTTCAGTGAAATTATTTTCCATTCCATTAAATTACCATTCATTCATTCACTCATTCATTCATTCATTCACTTCTACATTTATTCATTCAATCTTTCTTTCTTTCTTTCTTTCTTTCTTTCTTTCTTTCATTCATTCATTCTTTCTTTCTTCAGTGAAATTATTTTCCATTCCATTAAATAACCATTCATTCATTCACTCATTCATTCATTCATTCATTCATTTATTCCTTTTTCCTATGTTTAATGAATAGTTTTTACTGTCTATAATTCATTCATTCACACATTCATTCATTCATGCATTAACTTATTCACTTGATTACTGTTTCTTTCTTTCTTTAAATCTTTTCTTTTTCTTTCATTCATTCATTCATTCATTCATTCATTCATTCATTCATTCATTAACCTATTCATTTGTTTGCTGCTTCTTTCTTTCTTTCTTTCTTTCTTTCTTTCTGAATGGCTACCATTCATTCATTCATTCATTCATTCATCCATCCATTCATTTTTTATATGTTTAATGAATAGTTTTTACTGTCTACAAATTCATTCATTCACAACTCACTCACTCATGCATTCTTTCTTTTTTCATTCATTCATTCACTTATTTGTTTGTTTGCTCTTTCTTTCTTTCTTTCTTTCTTTCTTTCTTTCTTTCTTTCTTTCTTTCTTTCTGTCTTTCTGTCTTTCTTTCTTTCTTTGTGGTCCGTTATTCTGTGTGTTGGTACCAGATGTACTTGTGTTTTGCTCCAGGCTCTTTAGCCACCTGTCCAGACTCAGTGGAGGTCAGCGCTGAACCGTGACTGTTAGAACTACATACTTAAAAAGATGGCTCTCCAAAGGTTCTTTAGTAAAGGTAATGGTTCTGTTTAGAACCATTTCATTCTTATATGATCCTTGTGTGGTGAAATGGTTTTAAGATAAGATAAGATAATCATTTATCAGTCCTGCGATGGGGGAGATTCACACAGCTACAGCAGCAAAGGGGCAGAAAGGCTCTCAAGAAAAGAGGAGGAGAATTAACAGACAAGATGTTAACCTTATTAATTACTTAACAAGGTTACAGTTTGTTATTTGTTACCATATAGATAATATATATAATACTAAAGATAAACTATAAACTCTACCCTTCACAAAATTAACAATATAAACATTATAAATAATAAAAAAAAAAACATTATGAGGATATTCTAAACATACTGCACAGGAAGTATTGCTGTGATAGAGAATGTGTTGTATACGGTTCTCTATAGCACCAAAAAGGCTTTTGCTACTATTATTATGCCAAGCTTGTAACAATAGCAGAACCCTTTTTGGTGCTTTATGGAACCATTTTCAAAAAGGTTCTATATAAACTTAGGTACAACAAGTTTGTGGGCCTTCAGTTAAAGCCTTAAATGTCAAAACTGGGTCCAAAACAAGGAAAACCCACATCTGTGCTAATGCTAATTTCTGCTAGCGCTCCTACTGAATCTCTATAGTGATAACAGTACTGGTTAGCGCTCAGCTAATGCTGGTTTATATGAATATTCTTTGTAAAAGGCATCAACATAGATATTCCTTGTTTGTAGCAGCTTTACAGTGATTTTCATAATTTAGTGGTTAAGCTGTAATCAGAGTGATTCAGAGCGGTTTGGTGTGAAACGCTCTGTTCTAGAGAAACTTACCGAGTCAGAACTGTTCACAGTGGTGGTGATAGGAACCAGACGTCCACCTCTAAAAGCTCCCTCACAGAAAGTTCCTACATGAAATGGTTATGAATTCACTGCCTGATGACTGAGACACTGTTTTATGATTTTAGCCTAAACCCCTTAAAATCCAAGGCTTAGGACATATAAAGGCTTATTATTCAGTAACTACATGGACTACAAAGCAAACTAACTGAGTTATTATTAGGTTATAGAAGTGTGTAGCTTTGGGCCCACTGGTGGGCCCTGGCTTTTTAAGGGGTTAAAGGTGCAGTGTGTTAGATTTAGTGTCATCTAGTGGTGAGGTTGCAAACTGCACCCAGCTGAATCCCGCTCCCTCACCACCCCCTTTCCAAGCGTGTAGTAGAACCTACGGTGGCCTGTCCTGATTTCGTTTTGCTGCTTCATGTTTTCTCTTCTTTGACGGTGAGGATTCACCCTCTCTCACTTTCTCTTGTGCTAAATAATAAGTTTGATCCTTCAGTTGTCAAAATCTGGGTTCTCAAACTTCTCATAACACAAAATGGTCAGCAGCACCGGCAGCTCCACTGATTCTTCTTCTTTCAACGTCTTCCAACCAGAGGTACAGCGTCACCAAATTCAAGCTCTGGGCTACTGTAGAAGCAAGTTTTGTTACTATATTCTATTTCTGATAATAGATCCCCCGAAATCTCACACACTGCACCTTTAACCTTCTGAGCTCTGAGGTCTCTCGATTTGTTCATATCTTCTTAAATCCTCCTTTAAAGCTCTTCATATATCATGATCCTCATGTGTTTCATATCTAAATGCTCCGTTATCTTCATCACTACTTTCCAAAACCGCTTCAGCAGCTGTAAACTCTCTGCACACCATTTCACATGAGTCTCTGATGTGGACTGAATGAAGAATGAAGGGTTTCCGGCGTGATGGTCAGTCCTTAGTGATTTCCTGAGTGTCCATTGGTCAGTTTCACACAGAATGTAGATGGACACACGAATCTACCAGTTCCACACGGTGAGAGGCAGATGACGTGTATCTCAGCCCCTCTTCACAGGCTCATAACTCCGGATGTGAGTCTCGTATGACCTCGTGATAAGATGGAATGGAAAGGGCGACTCTACAGATTCAGGAAGTGTTTGAACTGGATTTCTGAGCTGGATCATCACAAAGATACAGACACAGATAGAGAAACAGAGAATCTGACGTGAGGGTGAGTTTGTGGAGGGTTAAATCCATTCATGCTGGAGGGAAAATGCAGGCCATTGTTGTTGTGAAACAAAATAGAAAACTTAGTATTTCAGATTTTCCACTATTTTCCATCATCAACATTCCATATAAACTCAGAAGACTCGTGTAGGTTCACTGGTGGTTCTGGATAGTAAATATCCATATATTTGTGTTGTAGTCATGGCGACCCCTGGTTTCTATCACCACCACTGTATGGAAGTGGGATACACAA